CTTGGGAACCCCTCTTTTCGAGCCTTTATCAGATACTCGTTCCCTTATAAACGCGCTAAGGCAAACCCATTGTCGTATTCAATTCCCATTTTCTCTCAATCGTCATCCATTTTTTCCGGTGACAAGAAATCTCTCTTTAATGGCGCCCGCTAGAAAAAACACTCACAACTATCACTCGGCTACCACAAGTTGCACCTCTAATCAACCATCTCTGCTTGTTTTCTCCGGTATGATTGTTTTTTATTTTCCTTAGGCGGCGTGAAAATTTTATGAATTTTTCCCATTAACCTTTCACTGATTAGTTTGATGTTACAAGAGCATTTTTCAGTTTCGATGATAATAAAATCTCCCTTCCTTCCTCTATCTCCTCCTTCATTCTTCGTTCTTTTAATTGAGGATGTGAATTTTGTGTTGCTAATTGCTTGTTTTAACGGTTCATGTTTTGCATTTGGGTTGAGTTTTTGTAGTTAGAATCATTTGCAGGAAAATGTGAATAATGTAAATTCCTAATTTTTTCTTGTACTTTGAGTAGTTTAATTTGTAAGATGGTGTCTGTGGCTTTTGTTGTCGATCTGTAATTTGTATGCGTATGTGAGAATTGTGGAAAAATTATGTAATGCATTCACAAAGGCATATGTACACATATATAAAAACATAAGGTAGGCCTTAATCTAGCCTAGAATACAACAATACTGAAATATTCAAATATATAACTAGCACACTCCCCCTCAAATACAAGGTGGTATAGTGGAGATCAACTTGAGTTTGCTAAGAAACAACTATAAGCGACCGGGAAGGAGAGACTTCGTGAAGACTTTATTGTTCCATTCATAGAGGAGACCGAAATAAGGTGTGCAATCCCATGGCAACATATTATCGAATGAATGAAGTGACATTCAATATGATTATGCTTAGTGCGAGCTTATGAAAGGTATCATTATGAGACATCTTTATAGCTCTCCAACTATCACAATCTCACTATCACAATATAGAACAATAAACGATGTCTGAGGTGCATCGAGATCAACAAGTAGCCGACACAACCACAATAGCTCGGAGTTGGAATCACGAGGAGCACGATACTCAGACTCATCACTTGATTTGAAAACCAAACCAAGGTTTGTTTCTTAATGCACCAAGGGGACAAGTGAATCACCCAGAAAGAAGCAGAACCTAGTAGTGAAGCGACATCAGTAGGGCTAGCCCAATCTGCATCAAAATAGCAGCTAAGTGTCAAGAAAGAACGGATCGAGCAAAGGATGTGCAAAATGTAGCCGAATGATGAGTGGTTCTCGAGGCAACCATAAATTGACTCACATTATGAACATCATGAGCTATATGAGGCCGAGTGATAGTCAAATAGATCAAACTCACTACAAGCTGACGATATAATGTAGGATCCTCAAGAAGAGAACCATCAAGTGGAGTAAGGTGACCATATAATAAGAGGTGTGGAAGATGTTTGAAAATAGTGAGACCGGCCCGAGCAAGAAGATTAGAGGCATAGACAAATAGAAGCCATAAGAGGAATCGGAGATCTCAAGATCCAAAAAGTAGCAAAGCTGGTTACGAAGATAATCTTGTAAATCGGAAATGTTGGAGACATAATTTTCTGTGATAATCATTTCGTCAATATAGAGCAACAAAATAATGATGCCAGATGAGGAGCGCTGAAGGAACAAGGTGAAAACTGTATTTTATGAGATGCTAATCGCAGCCTGATTATCACAAAATAGTTTGACTGGCCCCGCTGTTTTGTCACATTGAGAACATTTAAGAGTCTTTGAATCAAAATTCCTTCACATGTGCCAAGGGAAAATGATCTAAACTTAGATTCAGCACTATTTTGTGACACAACTGCTTTATTTTTGCACCTCAAGTGACAAGATTCCCCCAAAATAGCAGCATGACCGCTTGTCTGAAACATTTCACCATAGTGTGCAGCAATAGTCACTTCAATATCTCGGCTATGACTTTTCCTGAAAATGAGACCTTTCCCAGGAGTTAGCTTAAGATATCTTAAAATTCTATAAACAGCTTCCATGTGTTATTCGGTAGGGTTGTTCATGAATTGGCTCACTGTATTTACAGCAAAACAATTATCAGTTCGGGTATGAGAGAGGTATATTAGACGACCCACAAGGCGCTGGTATTTCCCTTTGTCAACTGGTGCGCTGTCATCCTTGTTTCTTATCTTCTTATTAGAATCCATAGGAGTATAAAGCCGGTTTGCAGCCCAACATACCAGTTTCCTTTAGTAATGTAATGTATACTTCCTTTGTGTTAGTGCAATTCCGTCCTTTCATCTTCCAATTTCAATTCCAAGGAAGTATCTCAAATTACCAGGCTCTTTGGTCTCAAATTCCCGAGCTAAGTATTTTTTTCGAACTTACCAGTTCTTCAACAAAGTCACTGGTAATAATGATATCATCCACGTGCACGATTAAGATAGCTATCTAGTGAATGCTTTACAAACAACGTGTCAACCTGGCATTGAATATTTCCATATTTTATCATGGATTTTGCAAACCTGTCAAACCATGCTCGTGGATTTTGTTCAAGTCCATAGAGTGACTTTTGCAATTTTCGTATCTTGTTCCTGCTTCCAACACTTCCCATTCCAGTAGGCACTTCCATATAAACTTCTTCGTTTAAGTAATCATTCAGGAAATCGTTTTTTTACGTCTAATTGGTATAGAGGCCAATCGTTATTTGCATCAACTGCAAGTAAAATTTTGAGTGTTAATTTTTGCCACAGGTGCAAAAGTTTCTTGATAATCAATACCGTATGATTGAGTGAATCCATTTGCAACAAGACATGCTTTTAACCTTTCAATGCTCCTGCCGGCTTTTGCTTGATGGTAAAAGTACACCTACACCCAACAGATTTCTTCCTCAAAGGTAGATCATAGAGTACCCAAGTGTCGTTCTTTTCGAGTGCCATAATTTCCTCATGCACTGCATTTTCCATTGCGGATGACTAAGGGGCTTCTTGAATCGATTTAGGGACCTGTACACTATCGGGGACTGTAACAAATGCTTTGTAAGTGGAAGAAAACCTATCATAGTTCACAAAATTTCCAATGGGATGCATGGTGCAAGTCTGACCCCTTTCCTCAAAGAAATAGCAATATCACTTTTTCAACAATAGGAGCAGGAGCAGGAGCAACATTAATTTCAGGATTAGAATCTTCGTCTCCTGTGTTAATGTTGATAGCATTAGGGCTCGGATCAGAGTCATTACAGTGCGTGAGAGATGTCATTTGGTCAGATGCACGATTGTTAATATTGTAGTCTCAAATTCAATGGCTGAATCTTGAACAATGAAAGATTCCCAAAATAGATATTCCCTCATGTCCTCCCCCTCTATATCAGGTTTTGGGTAGAATGACTCATGCTCAAAGAAAGTTACATCCGTTGAAGAATAAACTCTTTTTGTTACAGGTTTTCTGAGTCGATGAGTATCCTATAAATACACACTTGATAGACCTTGGGTCTAATTTGCTTTGGCTTGGATGACAGATATGCACAAAGGCTGAACAACCAAAGATTTTTATTGGAATATATCGTATGCAACAAACCTGGTGTGCGGATATTTTTGTAATAGAACATGATAGGGACGTGAAATTTAAGAACCTTAGATGTCATTCTACTAATATGATACGTTGATGTAAGGACAACTTCTCCCCATACAAATTAGGCACATGAGATGAGAAAGTCAAGGCTCGGGCTACGTCAAGTAGGTGACTATTTTCCCTCTCTGCCACTTTGTTCTGTTGAGGTGTATCGACACAATAAGTTATGTGTATGATGTCGTGGTTTGAGAGATAAGTTTGCAAATATGATTTCAATATTCATGAGCATTATCAGTTTTATGGACTTGGATCTGCGTTTAGACCTGCTTTTTAATCATCAAGTGAAACTTCTGAAATATTGACAAACTTCAGATTTCTCTTTCATGAGGAATATACCCAAATGAGTCGCGCATGATCATCTATGAAGGAAACAAACTAACATGCACCTGTAAGATTTTCACTCTTGATGGCCCCCATACATCACTAAGATTCAAGGAGAATGGATCAGTTGGCTTATAAAGTGCTCGAGAAAAAATAGCTCGAGTGTGTTTAGCGAACTGACAAGCTTCACAATAGAACGACTTTGGATTTTATTGACGAATAAATTAGGATAAATTTTCGCCAAGTACATGATATTGGGATGGCCAAGACAATTGTGCCAAAGCATAATTTCATCTACATGACCAACACTTTTAGAAGGAAAAGACTAAGAAGTGGACAAACTTAAACGCCTTAAGGGAGACTTTGCCAGGAGCCTGTCCAGTTTGATTATTCCAACACTTGAAAATGTAGAGGCCTCACATCCAATCGTCCTCCCTGATTCCATTTCCTGAAATTCACACAAGTTTGGGAGAAATTTGGCCACGCAATGAAGGTCATAACAGATTTTGCTAATTGAGATTAAATTGCAATTGAAATTTTGAAGGTGAAGCACTAATGCCAATATGATATCCTTCGTCAACTGCACTGAACCTCTTCCCAAAATCAGGGACAAGGAACCAGTAGCAATTTTAACGCGAGCGTTACTCTTATGACGAAAATAATCACGAAGAAGTGTGGCATATCCCGTCATGTGATCAAATGCTCCTGGATCAATAATCCAGTCGGTTTCGATTGAATTTTCCGCGAGAGCTCTAGAGAGTGTACCTTGTTGTGCCACCATGTTTGTTCCTTTATAAGCACCCGCAGGGTGCAACAAGTTTGGAATCAACATTTGCTGAAGAACTTCCATTTGTTCTTTGCTAAAAGCACTTGGTTTATCTTCAGTTAATGTTGCCGGGTGGCTCGATTTTCTTTGTAACGATTGGGTCGATTAGGCTTCCCGTCTACTGGTTTTTCATGAATTTTCCAGAAAGTTGATTTTGCAGTGCTCACACCAGTGTTCTTCGAGATTTATCACCAGTGTGAGGATTAGTGTGAGGATTAATGCTCGTGCTGCAAGGGCCGAACCTTCTGGTTCTAAAAGGTTTATTGAGACATCTTGCATTCCCATCATGACTTTCTTTCGACTTTCTTCCCTGTGTACTTCTGAAAATACTTCTCTAACACTAGGAAGTGATATCATTCCCGTAATTCTTTTAATCTGTGATGCCCTCTTCAGGCTAGTCCGAACAGAGCTCCGAGAGTAAGAACTTGTACCCCATTAGTGGTCAACACAATGACCAAATTCCTTTTCAAGTCAATGTAATTGAGACCAACAAGTTTGTTTGTTTTGATAATAACGGATAACGGATTAAAAGACAATTTTTAATATTGCACTTTGAATTTAAACTTAAATATTGATCCCTCTAAATAATACTACCTCCTGTTCATTATAAATGTCGTTTTGACTTTTGTGATTCATCCATTTTGTTATGTATCTAGACATTAATATGTCTAGATACATAACAAAATGGATGAATCAAAAATGTCAAAACGACATTTATAATGAATAGGAGGGAGTATTCATTTAAATTCACCGACATTTCAAAACACCGTGAATCTCGCAAGCCACGATAGTGTGGAAGGTTACAATTTTCAACATAGGGTTTAAAATTCATTAATTCTCATAAGCCAAACCAAATTCCCGTCGAATGATTTTAGTAGTCGGTTTCTTTCGCCATATGAATGAAACGCGACGTCTCCATTTGGGAGAACGTATTTTAATCACATTCTAAGTAAAGCCATTACATGTCCTAAGTCTATTATAAAAGATTATAAACCCCAAGTTGGATGGGTGAACACGCCCCAAATATAATTTACTCCAACCATCCCGCTATTGTGTATAAGTGTGAGTTGAGCTCCCTTTCCATTTGAAAGTAGCTTTAGGGATTAGTTTCACCCAACCGCATTTCTAGTATCAGAAAACCCAAGTTTCTTTGGTTGGAAGTGATCTTATGTTTGTCCCCACAATTATTGGGCACTTATTGTGTACAAGTATGTGTAGTGTCTCCCTTTGAGATAGCTTTTCGGGATAAATTCTACTCTTAAATCATTTATGAGAAGTACAATCTGGTAGTAAATAAGTAAAATTAGAAAGTCCTATATCAATGTGAAAGGAAAATTATAATCCTAATTAGGATGTTTTATGTTTTTTTGCAATTATAAATATAATCTTAAGGTTTTTTTTAATTATATTATAGGCACAACCCATATATACTAAAGGCACTATGTCCATATATGGACATCTTCATACTGTGATTGTATCAATTGTCCAAAACACTAATGTTTGTAACATTGTATCAGAGCGGCCCTGAATCTGCGATGATTTAATCTACCCAGCCTGATTTTTGCTTGGGCCTATAAAGCGCTCACAAGTTATACTTAAAGTTTTACCTCTTTGAGATACAGACAATGATAGGAGTAAAGGATCAGATAATTAAAAAAGGGGAATGGACACACAAATTTATTATAAATGAAAAGAGGAGAACAATGACAGAAGTATAAAACTTCCCAGCAAGATAA